TTTCAATGGCAAAGAGGAAGAAGGGTAAGGGAAGCAAGAGCTCAAGATCTAAATCAAAGAAAAAGCAAAAAGCAAGGCAGAATTCTAGGCCCAAAACAAGGAACTATACGAAGAGGAAAGAACAGAGCATTGCTTCTAGGGACGTTTCAGTTGAGAGCTGGCTTGATGAAGTAATGGAGAATGCTAGCCCTATGAAGGAAGTAACTCTAGAAGACTATGGTGAGCATAAGCAGGAGTTTAATAACTGGCTTCAGGTAATTCGTTCTTCTTCATCCGCCATTGATGATGAGCTTCGTACTGCTGCTTGCTGTGATAGTGTATTAAATTTTGATAATCCAACTCCTATTTTGATGCTTGAGAATTCTAGGAGTAATTTGAATGTGTTTTCCCCAATTTCTGAGAATCCCGATTTGCAATCCCCTGTTTTTCAATCCCCAATTTCGAATTCTGTTGCCCGATTGAATTGGAGGGAGAGTTTGTTTCAGGGGACTAGGGATGAGGGGATAGACCTATCTGAGGGTGTAAACCTTTCTTAGGGGAGAAATGAGCCTGTAAGAGATAGTTGTAATAAGGTCCAAATCAATTTTGAAGATATACAACCAGAGATTGATTTCCGGAATTCAGCAATTGTTTGCCATGTGATTGGAGTCAAGCCACCATTGTCTGTGATTAATGGGTTTGTCAGAAGATTATGGGGTAAATTTGGTGTAGACAAGGTGTCACTAATGGCAAATGGAACTTTCCTTGTTCGTTTCAAAACTGGGGATGCAAGGGATCGAGTCTTGGGTTTAGGACCTATCTGGTTTAATAATAATCCTGTAATAATGAGAAAATGGGTAGAGGGAATGAATTTGTCTGTTGAACCAGTGGATCTTGTCCCTATTTGGGTAAGGATGCTTGGCCTGAATCTGAAATATTGGGGACAAAAGGCTCTTATGACGCTGGCTTCTCTGATTGGGAAGCCTATTAAGACTGATAAGGAAACTACTACTAAGGAAAGGCTGGAGTATGCCCGGATTATGGTGGAGGTTAAGTTCAATGTTGAATTACCAGAATGCATTGAGTTCCTGGATGAGTTTGGAAACACAGTTAAGCAAGAGGTGAAATATGAATGGAAGCCTAGGGTGTGCAGGGTGTGTGGTGGGATTGGGCATGATGATGCTCAATGCCCTAACCATAAAGTGGAAGCTAGGAAAATGGAGGGGCTGCAGGCAAGGAGGAATCAACAGTTCAATAAACAAAAGAAAAAGCCACAAAGAGTATGGAAGCCAGTTCAAAAGCCTGATATTAAGAGCCATAATGATGGGAGTAGGACAAACACCTTTACTGGTGATGTGCAGGCTGATGATATCTGTCAAAAACCTCAGTTAATGCAAGTTGGTGTGTTTTTAATCAATAGAAGTGGAAACAGGTTCAGTGTCCTTGAAGAGGAGGAATGCTCTCACTCTTACCATGGATAAGATTGGATTCTGGAATATAAGAGGTCTAAATAAAGCCATTAAGCTCTGTGATGTCTTATGGTTTATTAGACACCATGGAGTAGGTTTATTTGGACTTCTTGAAACAAAGGTGAAGGCTGTGAAGTTTGGTGATGTATTTAATAGGCTTGGGAGTAATTGGTCTGTTTGTGCTAATTATTCCTACCATAAAGGGGGTAGAATTTGGGTGGTTTGGTTATCTCAAATTTTTGATGTGACTGTGGTAAGATGTGAAGTTCAATTAATTCACATTTGTGTAGTTCACAAAACTACTGGGGTGAAGTTTGAGTGTACTATGGTTTATGGTTTGAATACTGCTGGAGCTAGAGTGCAGCCGTGGGAGCAGATTGTTAAGCTTAGTAATAAGGTTAGTGGCCCTTGGATCCTTCAAGGTGATTTCAACAATGTTCTGAATTTGAATGATAGAATAGGGAGCATTGTGTCCTTAGCTGAGGTTGAGCCTTTTAGATCTTGTCTAAGAGGTGCTGGACTCACTGATTGGGCTACAGAAGGAATGTTCTATACTTGGACTAATAAGCAAGAGGTAAGGATCGAGTCTGCTCAAAGATTGATAGAGTTATTGTTAATAATGAGTGGATGTTGAAATTTGCTGATATGCAAGCTACTTTCTTTCCAGAGGGGTTAATGGACCATAGTCCTTGTGTGATTAAGCTTTTTGATTCTCGTAATCATACTAAGAAACCTTTTAGGTTTGTGAATATTTGGGTGGACTACCCAGATTTTCTTCCTGGGTTAAAGAAGTCTGGGGTAAAAATGTTTCTGGTACTTTTATGTTTCAATGTGTGAAGAAGTTGAAGGAGGTGAAGCAGTTCTTAAAAGAGTATAAGATGGGCAGATTTTCTTGTGTGAAGGTTGATGATGCAGTTGCTGAGAAGCACCTAGAAGAGATCCAGATTAAATTGCAAAGTGACCCTGGGAATGAAGATCTTATCAGTCAAGAAAGACTAGCTAGGATCCAATTTGCCAAAACTCATTCTGATAGATTTAACTTCTTAAAACAAAAGGCAAAGGTTCATTGGCTCAAGGATGGTGATATGAAAACTGCTTTCTTTCATGCTATGATTAGGAAGAGAAGACTTCAAAACAACATCTACTCTATTTTGAATGATGAGGGGCTGGTCATCTCTGATCCTGGACAAGTATGTGAAACCTTTCTTAAGTATTATCAGGGTCTTCTTGGTACTGAAACTCATATGGTGGGCAATATTCATCAGGGAGTCATCTCTGAAGGTAAAGTCCTTTCTGAGGATCAGGGCATCAACTTATGCAGGGAGTTTTGTGAGCAAGATGTGAAGAGAGCTCTGTGGAGAATTGAGGACAACAAAGCTCCTGGTCCTGATGGGTTCTCCAGCAAATTTTTCAAGGCTACCTTGAATGTGGTTGGTCCTGATGTCACTAAAGCTGTCCTGGATTTCTTTAGTTCAGGCAAGCTTCTTAAGCAGATTAATGCTACCACCCTTACTTTGATCCCTAAGGTTGATCATGTTAATAGGGTCACTTAATTTAGACCAATTTCTTGCTGCAATGTGATCTACAAGATCATCTCTAAAATTATTTGTGATAGATTAAAGGAAGTGCTTCCTGATCTAATTGATGGGTGTCAAGGTGCTTTTGTTTCTGGGAGATCTATCTTGGATAATATTTTGATTTGCCAGGATATGCTTAAAGCCTATAATAATAAGAGAAAGCCTCCTAGATGCACTATTAAGGTTGATTTGAGGAAGGCTTATGATTTTGTTAATTGGAGATTTATTCAAGAGATATTGACTGCCCTCAAGTTCCCCACCAAGTTCATCTCCTGGATCATGCAGTGTGTTACTACTCCTTCTTTCTCTTTGCTACTCAATGGGGGTTCTTATGGTTTTTTCAAAGGGAGAAAAGGTGTGAGGCAGGGTGATCCTATGTCTCCTCTTCTGTTTGTTATTGTGATGGAATATTTAACCAGACTCCTCAAGAAAGTTGGTAAAAGGAGGGATTTTATGTTTCACCAAAGGTGCAACTCTCTAGCTCTTAATCACTTGATCTTTGCTGATGATCTGATGCTTTTCTCTTATGGGGATACTAAGTCTGTAAAACTCCTTATTAGAGCTTTGAAAACCTTTGAGTCCAGATCAGGGCTTTAAGCAAACCTTGATAAAACTACAATTTATTTTGGAAATGTCCAGCAGCAAGTGCAGGACAGTATTTTGATGAATTCTTGTTTTGTCATGGGTGATATGCCTTTCAGGTACCTGTGTATCCCTCTCAATGCTAAGTATTTGAAAGTGAATGACTTTGATAGTTTGATTGATAAAATGCTGATGAGATTGCAATGTTGGAGTAGTAGACATTTATCCTATGCTGCTAGAGTTACCCTTATTAACTCTGTTCTTATGAGCTTGCATACTTATTGGGCTCAGTGTGTTCTTCTGCCCAAGAGAGTGATGGATAGAATTACTCAGCTATGAAGAGCCTTCCTTTGGAGTGGTAATGTTGTGCTGTCTAAGTCCCCTCCAATTGCCTGGGATTGGGTTTGAAGACCCAAGAAGTTTGGTGGTTTAGGTATAAGACATTGGAGGAATTGGAACAAAGTAGCCCTAGGAAGCTATGTTTGGAAAATTGCAAAAAAATCTGATTCTTTATGGGTTAGATGGGTTCATGTTGTCTATATCAAGGATGAGGAATGGTGGGATTATAAACCAAAGAAAGATGCTAGCTCGGCATGGAAGTTGTTATGTAAGGCTAAAGATGAGCTTAGGCAAGGGTTTGAGACTGAGAATTGGATAAATAAAAGGTACAGAATCAAGGATGGCTACAAGTGGCTTCAGGGTAACATGGAAAAGGTTAATTGGTATGTTTGGGTCTGGAATCAGTTTAACATCCCCAAGCATACTTTTATTAACTGGCTCTCAGCTTTGGACAGGCTCAGAACTAGAGATAAACTTGTTCAGTTTGGGGCTTGTGAGTCTAGTGACTGTCTTCTTTGTGGAGAGGATGCTGAGACCATTACTCACTTGTTTTTTGCCTGCAACTATAGTACAAAGGTTGTTGATGATGTTGCTCTTTGGCTTGGCCTTCATAATTCCCCTCTGCATTCTCTTAATAATTGGAAGAACTAGAAACAAAGAGGCAAAAACTGTGTTCAGCAGAAAGTGATTCTGGCTTGCTTGTCTGCAGTTGTTTACAATATTTGGATGGCTAGGAACCATACTCTTTGGTGTAAAGCTGTTCTAAGGCCGGATCTGCTTTTAAAAGGGGTAAAGAGAGAAGTTGTGGCTAGATGTCAGCAGATGATCAATCACACTTGGAAGATTGAAGATTGTAAATGGTTGCAGCACCTCAAGTCTTGTATTTAACTGTTTTTGTTGCCTCTGTTGCTGTCTTTGTATAGCCTGGTTGTATGGGGTTTTAGGTGTAGGTGTTCTTTCTTTTGCAGGTCTTGTTTTCCCTGAGCCCTTCCTAGAAGGTACCAGGGATCTCTTTAACTTGGTTTTGGTTTTATGTTCATGCTTTAAACCCTTCCTAGAAGGTGGTAAGGTTAAACTTAAAACCATGATGGTTGTTTGCCTTTTTTGCTAAGGCTTGTGTAGTTTTGGGTTTCTGCTTGTCAGCATTGTACATTATTCTTTGTACAGTTTTTTTATCAATATACTTTTCTTACCTTCCAAAAAAAAAAAAAAAAAGAAAACAAGTAACGCCCTCGTAACTCAACATACCTGAAACAACTCTGGGTACTTCTTTTTTATTTCATCTTCTGCCTCCCAAATGGCTTCCTCATATTCATAGTTGGACCAAATCACTTTTTCAATTTTAACATTATTATTGCGTGTACTACGCACTTTACTGTCAAGAATCTTGACAGGTATTTCTTCATTACTTAAGCTTTGATCTAACTTAATGGTTTCGGGTTGTAAAACATGGGATTTATTAGGAATGTACCTTCTCAATTGGGACACATGGAATACATCATGTACTTTACTAAGCTCTATAGGTAAGGCTAACCTATAAGCTACTTTGCCTATTTTTCGCAGTATTTCATATGGACCAATATACATTGGGCTGAGCTTTCCTTTCTTCCAAAATCTCATCACTCCTTTCATTGGTGACACCTTTAACAATACTTTATCACCAATTTCGAACTCTTCTTCTCTACGCTTCAAGTCTGCATAGCTCTTTTGGCGATCTTGAGCTGCTTGAATTTTGGCTCCTCAATAATTTGAGGCCCTTGAATCATAGTTTCATTAATATCGTTCCAACAAATTGGACTACGATACTTCCTCCCATACAAGGCCTGAAATGGAGCCATTCCTATGCTCGCATGATAACTATTGTTGTAGGAAAATTCAATTAAGTCCAAGCTATCTTCCCATCCTCCTTGGAAGTCTATCACACAAGCTCTCAGCATGTCCTCCAAGGTTTGAATGGTTCTCTCGGATTGTCCATCTGTGGCAGGGTGAAATGTCTTACTCATCTTAAGTGTTGTACAAAATTTTTCCTGTACACTTGTCTTAAATTTAGAAAGAAACCTGGAATCTCTATCAGTCACTATGTCCTTTGGAACCCCATGTAACCTCACAACATGTTTGATGTAAGCTTTCGCAAGTTGCTCCATCTTCCAAGTCTCTTTCATTGGTATAAACACCACGGATTTTGTAAGTCTATCCACCACTACCAAAATGGTGTCATTTCCACTCCTTGACTTAGGAAGGCAAGTTACAAAATCCATTGAAATGCAATCCCACTTCCATCCTGGGATTTCCAATGACTGCACAGTCCCTTGAGGTCCCTTGAGGTTTCTTGTATTCTATCTTCACCTTTTGGCATGTTAAACACTTTGCCACAAACTCTGCAACCTCATTTTTCATTCTAGGCCACCAAAACATCTTCTTCAAATCCTTGTATAGCTTGTCCTCTCCTGGGTGTACTGAGTACGGTGTATCGTAGCCTTCTTCCATCAATTTTCTTTTTACTTCTTCACATTTCTATAGTACGCACCATCTAATTTTGTATCTCAAACTCCCATCTTCATGTATTTTGAAGTCTGTAGCTTTTCCTTGCTTAATTTTCTCGCGAATCCTATCCAACTTCACATCTCCCTCTTGGTTTCCTCGTATCTTATTGAATATTGTTGGTTTGATGCTTAGGTTCGAAAGAATACCTCCTGGTACACCCCATTCTACAACTTCTAAATTCAGTTTCATCATTTCTCTTTACAACTCGTTAGCTACCATTAATGTGTTTAATCCATGACTAGACTTACGACTTAGAGCATCTGCAACTACATTCGCTTTCCCTTCATGGTATTGTATATCTAAGTCATAATCCGTCGTATACTCCAACAATCTTCTTTGACGAGAGTTTAAATTCTTTTGGGTAAAAATGTACTTTAAGCTCTTATGATCTGTGTAAATTCTACATTTTACTCCATGTAGGTAATGGCGTCAAATCTGTAGTGAAAAAGTGATTGCAGCTAACTCCACATCATGGGTTGGGTAATTAACTTCGTGGGTCTTTAACTGCCTTGATGCATATGCAATCACCTTTCCATTTTGCATAAGCACACACCCTAAACCATTCTTTGATGCATCACTATACACATCATACACTCCACTATCATCTGGCAGTGTAAGCACTGATTCTGTAACTAATTTGTGTTTCAAGTGTTGGAACGCCTCTTCACACTTGTCATCTCATTCAAACTTCTTGTCTTTCTTCATTAGAGTAGTCATAGGTTTAGCAATCTTTGAAAAGTCCTTAACAAAACGCCTATAATACCCTGTTAAACCTAAGAAGCTCCGCACATCCGATACTATTTTTTGTGTAGGCCAACTCTTAACAGCTTCTATTTTTTCTAGGTCTACTTCTACTCCATCCTTGGACACAAAGTGTCCTAAAAATTCTACCTTTTCCAACCAAAACTCACACTTAGAGAACTTTGCGTAAAAATGATTTTCCCTTAGTGTTTGCAGAATTGCCCTTAGGTGTTCTGCATGTTCCTCTTTGCTTTTTGAATACACCAATATATCATCTATAAACACTACTACAAACTTATCCATAAATTGATGAAGCACCCTATTCATCAAATCCATAAAGATTGTTGGAGAATTTGTCAATCCAAATGGCATAACTGTAAATTTGTAATGTTCATATCTTGTCTTAAAGCGCAGTTTTAGGGATGTCCTCATCTGCAATCCTCAATTGGTGATACCCCGACCTCAAATCAATCTTTGAAAACACTATGGCACCCTTTAATTGATCAAACAAATCATCGATTCTTGGTAGAGGGTACTTGTTCTTTATGGTCACTTTGTTTAATTCCCTGTAATCAATGCACAACCTCATACTCCCATCTTTCTTCTTCACAAATAGCACTGGCGCTCCCCAAGGAGAAGCGCTTGGTCTAACGTATCCCTTGTCAAACAAGTCTTGCAATTGCTCCTTTAACTCGCTCATTTCTGCAGGTGCCATTCGATATTGTGCTATGGATATTGGGGCTGTTCCAGGGACTAAATCTATAGTAAAGTCAATTGCCCTCATAGGTGGCATTCTAGGAATCTCCTCTTGAAATACATCCAGGAATTCACTAACTACTTCTGTTTCGGGGTTTTCTGATGTCCTGTGGGAGAGTTACAATTCCGAGACTGGAACCGGACGCCTGTACCTGCAAAACAACGGAGACTCCTGGTGGTGGGAGCTCTGCCTCCAACGGTCAAGTTAGTACTTGATTAAGGAGTAATTAATGCGGAAATTAAAGTGGTTGGGTCTCTCTAGGTGAGAGTGTTTAATGTGAGTTTTTAGCGTAATCAGCCTGTAACTCTGTGTGTAATCAATGTGTTTTTTTGTAATCCCCCCTTAATGAGGATTAAGGGAGGTATTTATAACCTTGGGAAACGTGTCAATCCTAGGTTTAGGTTAACCTAGGGCTGATTGGGCTTCCCTCGGAAGTTGGGCCTAGGTGGCCGGTTTCTCCATTAGGCATGGAGTATGCCACATGTCATGACATAACAGGTCCAAGGTGGACGAATAAGCGTGTGCCACGTGGCATGCCCTGACAGTTCCATCTGGGGGACACTTGGCAGGACCTGATTGGCCCACGTGGCGCATTCCGATTGGTGGGAGCAAAATCCCCTAATCATTTGCCCCTCACAGGTGGCACGTGACTTGTCACGTGTTACCTGTGACAGGTGCCGCACTGTAACAGGCGACGAAAGGCTGAGAGATTTTCCCGCCCAAATTTTGAATTCTGAAAGTGACCCTTCGCCTTCTCACTTCGCCTATATAAGGGAGAGTTGTCTTGAGTCATTTTCACACTTGAGAACTTTTTGAGAACATTCGGACCCCTGAACTTGCTCTGACATTTTTTACCTTTTCTGCCTACCGCCTGTTCTGACAAGCCGACTGCAAAGGATTTTCAGAATTTCATCAACCGTCACTCGTTCAGGTAACTGTCAGTTCTCTTACTCTTAATTTTCTTTTTATTTTTTGAAATGGCACCACGGAAGCACACGACACGACCTAGGTTAGTGATCAGCCGGTCACCGGGGACGGCTGAATCTAGGACTAGGAGTGTCGCCTGCCCTTTTCCGGACCCATCTTTGCCCTTTATACAAAGTCCGACTGTATCTGTGTCTATGCAGAGCAGAATGGCCAGAACGAAAAAGACTGCTAGGATCTCAAATTCAGACGGCTCCTCCCACAGGGTGCCGATTAGTGAAACATCTGACCAAGCGCCAGATGTGGAAGTGAAACAAGGCGGCCTGAAAGCCGGCAATTCTGAGGGAGGAGTCATAGTGACCCCTTCCCATTTAACAAATAACAATTCTGCTCCTTTTCAAAGAGAGGAGGCGGGCCCCTCCGGGAGAGGGGAGGAGTCGTCCTCTTCGGACTCGTCAGAGGGCGATTCCGAGTCTAGCTCTTCTGGCCATGCTTCTCTGGACACAGAAGAGAAAAACAGCCGCCTGCAAGAGGCGAGGCTTTCTCACGCAGTTGAGAAGGGGGACAATTGGGCGGAGCCATCCGCCTCTTACCTAGAGCAAAATACCCCCTACTACTACACGGTACCTCGGGGCCGGATCACAGTCATGCAAGAGAAAGTGGAGAGCTTTATCGCAAACCACACAATGGGCCCCGACTTTTTAGTGTTTGTGCCGGATCCAGAAGACACAGTTGTCTGGCCGGCTGGTACCAGTTATGATAGCGCCTGCTTTGGCTGCTACGAGGCGGCCATCAAGGCAGGGCTGCGCTTCCCATTACATCCGGCTGTTCAGCGGATCTTGGATGGGTATGAGTTGGGGTTATGGCAGTTAGCCCCAAACTCCTGGGTCAACGTACTCGGCTATGTGGCCGGGTGCGAACTGCAAGGTGTGGAGCCGAGCTTCGAGGCTTTCGCCCATATGAACTATCTCAGCCGGACCCCTAAGGCAGGCGATACCGGCTGGTATCAATTGACAAGCAACAGGGGCTACCTCATGACGAGAGGTAAAGCAAACAAGTGGAAGGACTGGCGGAGCACCTTCCTCATCATTGAGAGTTCAGACACTGAGCTGAACAAGCGCTTCAATAGGTGGAACAGGAATCCGCCCCTTCTTGCAGGCGGCCGTAGCATGCCGCCTGTTCCCCCCAAGGCTAAGAAAGAGATCCTTGATAAAGGACTCTTTAAAGTAGAGTCGAGGGTCGACTCTACTTTAGGGGTACGAGAGCAAGTACCCCTGCACTGCGTCCCGAGCTTCAAATGGCTCTACAACGAGTACTTTTTGGCCGCCTGTGGCCTCAGCAGTCGGTGCTCAAGAGGTAGTCGGCCTGTCGAATACTCTGTTGTTCCATACATTTCTTGTTATGACTTTTATTAACTTTGATGTTTGTTTTTGCAGCTGACGCCATGAGCAAAATTACCGCCTCCAAGACTGCGGCGGCCATGTTGCGGGCCTTCATCATGCAACAAGCTTCAACCGACTCCCCCAAGAATGGGGCACCCGTGGTGAGCTCCGAACCTTTCACCCTCTTTTTGGAGTTGAGTTTATGCATATACTGACTTTTTTTTTCTTCTTTTTTAGACGGGTGCTCCAAGAGCTTCATCTTCCCAACAGCCGGACCCCAAGGC